TCCTCTCCCTGACGTCTGTAATCCAGAGAAAAGCACGTCCTTCATTTCTTTTCACCGATCATTACAATCCTCTCTGCAGTTGTTAGACACCGTTGTGTTTAATGTCCGTCTGATAGTTTTGTGCGTCGTTGGGGAGCCTTACACGGTGCGTGGGATGACTCGACACTATTGGCCGACAAGGTGCTCATCAGTGTGTGGTGCAGACACATCGTGCTGTTTAACATCCATCATTTCATGGACCCCCACATTATCAAAACACCACAGTGTTGGTGCTAAAACACATGCGATGTTCAGACATGCCGGATCTGGTTGGGGCAAATCTATTTTTCCCGACCGGCATTATCTCTCCTCCATCTCTGACGCTGAGAGGAGGGACTGGGACGCTGCACCACACAGCCAGGAGGAAGGAATACAAAGAGTTTTTAAATATCCTCATCCATTCTGCTCTCCTTCATGGTCCGGGCCGTGTAATTGGCTATAAATAGCCTGTCAAATTGACATAAAGAACCCTCACAGGCACTGAAATGTCAAAAGTAAAACCTCAGTGGGGCATTAACTTCCGCCGGCAATTGACCCAAAGCAAGTAACAACAAATCAGTGAAAGTGTCCGTACAACAGGTTTGTGTCTATTTATGAAATTCTGTCGTGTTTACCGACAATAATAGAACACAGGGTTACTGATCCGTGTTACTACCAGGTTTTTATCTGCCGTGTAAGTGTTGCAGACAAAGAGCTGGTCAATGATTGACAGTTTATGTAAGGTGAGTGACAGGTGTAGTTTAAATCTACAGAGGACCTGTTTGATCATTAGGAAGCAGAGTGTGTGAAGCGGACGGCCGGCCGCGTTGAAAGGCATCACTCAGAGGGAGAACGACTGGATGATGGAAGGATGCTGTGCAGGTAATAGTGTGAATAACGCACCAAGGTGTAGCACTGGTTGAGTTCTCACATCATATTTGTCTCAGTACTCCCGTGGTGGTAACTGACTTTGTCATTCAGCAGCATCAAGTTATTTTGTGTCTGAAAATTTTGATGAGGAAAAATAATTGGCATGTTTTTCCCAGTTCAGTGAACATTCAAGAAGCTGATGTGTGAAGCTAATGAATTCACATTTTCTTCAAATTTGTTCTCAGCTTATTTAAATTACAGATATTTCTGACTCAAAATACACAATCGAGTCATTATGCCTGAATACGTGCTTATTTTACTGTTAAAACAATTTCAAACTACATCAGAGGCGGCGGCGTTCTCCACACCATCCACACAGACCGTGCCTCACCAGTACAGGAAACGGCTCGGCTTCACCGTTGAACTTGTCGGTGTTTTTTTCCAAGAATATAATTTGTTGAACTTTGGAGAACTTTTGAAACTGTAGCGTGTTAAAATGCCTACAATTATGAAAGAATTATTTTCATCCCACTTAACCTCAACCTGTGAATCACAGGAAGATTCTCGTCTTTATTACTGTACTCGTCCTTGTTCACCCACTCGCTTTCTTGTCTTTTCTTTTGGCTTAGTTTTACTGACAGAATAATATTTTATATGTTTTGAAAATGTTTTTTTAAAAATGGGATTTTCATCCAGTTTTATTGTGAATAAATACTCAACTGCTCAGTACTTTTATGTACTGTAGTTCCATCCTAAAGGTTGGTCTTTGCACATATTGGTGAAGGGCATGAAGAAACTGGGATTTTAAAGAAATGTGAATATAATCCAGCGTCATTTAGCCTATTTAAGGTTCTAAAGTGACTACCAGCCACTCGGTCCGTGTTCCCCCTTCACATTATATAATTGTTCTTCAAGCTCAATGCTCAGTTGTTGCGTAACTGCCTTTCACAGCAGCTGACTCCCTGTAATGTGGAAATCCCTTGAGACTTCAGGTTGACGACCATGAGAGTCCAGCTGGGTTTTTTGTTTGTTTGTTTGTTTATCTATTGATTGATTGATTTTGAAGTTGAGATTCCGTATTGAAAAAAGTGGTTGGAAGTTATAAATATTTGTGGGAATATTTTAGCTTGAACATCATAAAGTATTTTATGCAATGTTGAAGTAGATAAAAGTTGTAAGTTTAAGTTGCAGTTTCAGGTCTTAGAAATGCACTGATAAAGACTCGAATATACAAGTAAAATAAATATGTGCAATACACCTTTCTTGTGGTTTGAACAGCTCACTCACACAGGTGGTATTGTTTAATATGCATATGATTAATATTTAAATGTCAGTCCTACCTAGAAAATCCTCAAGGTAAAACCAATATTAAAAGCCTCATAAACAGCTGAGTAGCTCATTCATTGTATCTTATTACCTGATCAAGTGCTTTACCATGTAAAATATTAATCCCTAGTAGTACCTGGAGGGGCCTGGAGTAGTATAAACAGGCCCGGAGCATCAGGCGTCTCAACTCTACTAAATCGATTTTCTTGTTAAAGTCGACTTTTAATTATTTTAATGTTTAAATAAAAGGAAAATAAATAATAATAAGATGAGTATGAGAGCAGGAACAACATTCTGTTTTTCTCAGAAGTTTTGAGTCTGCGGGCCAGAACCAGACACCAAGAGTTTATTAACAGAGTGAGAGTAACAAGTCTCCAGAGTGAGAGCCCATTGGCTGATTAGAATAAAACAGAGCCAGACACCAGAGAGCAGACTAAACAGGTAGTGAAGCAGGAAGGCGTCCACACTATTTGAGCAGCAGAGCGTGGCAGAGTGATTTCAGGGAGGCAGATGATCCCGACCCAAAGCTGGTATTAGCCAAAAGGAGAACTGGCAAAGGCAGAGTCTTAACTTCAAAGTTCAATATGAGAAAAGTAGCAGCAGCTTCTCCAGCAGTTGACTTCTGAGGCAGTCTGACAGTCCGGCGGTTTTGAAGGATGAACTGGTTCTCTGCTTCAGGAGGTTGTGGTGATTGAACAGTGAGGATCAGGTGGGCATATAAAATGGAGCTGCAGCAGAAACCAGCCACAGGAGCCACAGGGATACTCATAGAAAACACAGAAAACCTTCAAATACAAGGATTTAATCCAAGATATTATCAGTGTGTACGTGAATCCTACAATATATGAGTGGAATCATGAGTATTACATAGAACTGAACCCAAATTTATAACTGTTGTTATTGTTGAGTGATTTCCCTGGTATTTTCACTGACTTGATTATTGTTGGATTATTGTTGATGAATTAATAGTAAAAGTAAAGATGAATAAATTTTAAAAAATGAAGCCTTAAAAACCTTAAGTCAGTGGTTCAAAAAGTGGGAAGCGGCCCCTCCTTGGACCCTGATTCTATTACAGGTGCGGAACAGCATAGCAAATCAGTTTCAACGTCAATATTTCTTAGGTTGTGTCACATGCGAAAAAATTTATTTTTGTTCAATAAAGGGATTTTGTCCCAACATGTCACTGTAAAAATACAAGTTGTTCTTTTCTGTACTTTTGATGACAAAAACGAATCGCAACGATATGTCACTTTCCATAAATAAATAAATAAATAAAAGTGACAGATGAATTTTTTTCTTTTTTTTTTTAAGTTGTACCAGGAGCAGTGTGAGTTTGAGCAAGAACCTACAACTCCAGCCTTTGCTAGGACACGGCCCCCGGGGCCTCGGCTCGTGTCACACAGTTTTGTAATGTCACAAAAGGATGAAGAGTGGTTCCCCAGGCTCCCAAACTTTTCTGCTTTGCTGCGTGGCGTGCACTTTCATCAGTGTCATTTAGGTGATTTTTTTTTCTCCTTCTAGTAGAGGAGGCTGAAGGTTGTCATGAAAAGTAGATTCCTTGGCCGGGCTCCAGAATGTGTTGCTGCTGGGTTTTGGGGCTGATGGGTGCTATGTGCTGCATATTATCTGTATACGTGTATTTGTGTGTGTGTGTGTGTGTGTGTGTGTGTGTGTGTGTGTTCTCTCGTGGGAATCCTTGGCAGCAGGTGTGACATGTAGTAATGGGAAATTATGCTGCATAGTGCAAACCTCTTCTGAATGGGGTCACCCACTGTCAACTGTGCCAAGCACGTACAACAGAGCAGCCACCCACTCTTTAATCAAGGCCGACTTATTTCCTGATGCTTATTCATTTGTTTATCTTTAATATTTCCATTTTAGGAAAAACATTTCTTGACAGATTTGTGAAGCACAAGCTTGAGTTTTTTTTTTTTTATGGTTTAGCAGCTCAAATCTCGCTGCGTTGTAATTTTTCTTCCTGTTTTCAGTCAATAGCAATCAAACGACTCCATCATTATGCATGATCTGTAGTCACTGCAAACAAATATCCATCACAGCATGAAGAAGCATTTTCCATCGCTGTTGTTTAAACATTACCTCCAGGAAAGTTTGCATTTGTATGTTAAACATTTGACTTTTTTTTTGTTCCATTATAATAAAAGGGGAAAAATGAGGTAATAATAATGTTAATACAAGCAGCAGGGCGGATGTTTTATTCATGGAACATATGCATGAATTGAGTAAATCTAATGTGAGAGATTCATATTTTGAGAAATGTGTAAAATTTTAATCTCACCAGCGCATTATTTTGTCTGAGAGTATGAAGCCATTAACGTCAGGACGCCACATTTCAGCTGTCAGCAGTCTATGAATTCTATTGTGACATAACACAGATTTCAGGCGGCGGTTTATAGTTCTCCAATAAGTCAAATTACGTTACATTGTACAAACTATTTAGTGGGAAAGGATTTGTTTTTTGTTTTTTTCCTAATAGTTATTATTTGACCAGATGCTGCGTTTTCATAATTTGGGTTGTACAATAATGGTGCCATTTTTATTTATGTTTTGAGGTGATGAATACTAAAGCCTGAACTCTTCAGATTAAAGTGCCATCATCATCATCTATGTGTCACTATACATTTTGAATGGTATATTTTATGTCCCCTCAAATGCCCTGAAAGGCACATTTCAACCTCTGAAACCTGTGTTTTTTTAAATTATTTTTTATTAACAGTGTGTTGTCTATTGTCTGCTGGAATAAGCCTTTGTTCCCTGTCTCCCTGTAGGATGTGCCTTTCTAACATACTGTGCCAGAGAGTCAGCACTGAAGGCCCAGAGCGCCCTCCATGAACAGAAGACTCTGCCAGGGGTAAGTGCCCCCGATCTGCCCTCTGTCATAGGCTAAAGCCCTCAGGGCAACTAGCCTGGTACGAGGGATCTACATTAACATAGAAGTTATGTCACAGTCGCACACACACATCGGCCACGCAGACGCACGTGATGACAAGGTTTACATCATGACACACATTCAGACAAACCAGTGACATCAGTGACATGAAAACAGATGGGAGGAGTCACTTATTAACACACACACACACACACACACACACACAATCTCACTGGGAAAAACCGTGTGTGAGTGGCCTGTCTCACCTTGCAGTGTCTTATTACACTAATCACCCCGGCGGAGATATTTGATAAGCACTCCTTTATAACCGCTCAGGCTGTCCTTCCCCTGTCCTCTCACAATATGGCTGCTGCAAACACTAATTGCCTTAAGGAATCTCACTCTCATTATCACATGTAATCAAACAGTAAGTATAAACAATCATTTTTTACCATGTATTTCACCAGCTGCTACCTTTTGTTTTTTTCTTTCAATCCACATACATTCTTGTCCCCACACCTCCTCTGAACTGCCTCTGGCAGGCAGGTAACTTTTTCAATTAAAATAATGGCCCTTTTCAAACAACACAGGTGACACGTACGGGAGAGTGGGCTCTTAAGCCCACCCAGGAGGAGACCCTCAATCTAGGATGAGCACGAGCCCGTGGTGTGTATCTGCGCTTGATGTTTGTAAAGCGGATTGGTCCCCCACATCAGGGGAATTATGGAGGTGTGATTGAATTACCCCCAGTGGTTCCCTGAGAAGAGAAAAAAGCTGTTCTAGAATTCAGACTCTTCAGCAGACCCCTCCACCCCCACACACCCACTTGCACAATATATCAAGACAACCACCCAGGTTTAATCAAAGCCTGAAGTGCGATGTGAAAGAAGGAGATGGAGAGAGCAGAGCGGTGAAAGAAGCGAAAAAGTAGAAACGTTTTGGACGAGGAGGAGGAGGAGGGGTCCGCAGCGTGCAGCTTCACGTTGTTTATTTTGGTTGTGTTTCGGGGACGTTTCCAGAATATCAGCAGTCATTTACTGAATGTTAGATAAACGGAAGCACCGTGGCGTCAGATCCCTGGGAGATCTGGCTCCCCGGTTGGTTTCTACCTCCCCCAGCTCTGTAATCAGATGATTGTCATGATGGTTCTGGATGGGGGGCGAGGGGCTGCGGCGGAG